CGTCCCCAGCGCCCCCTTCCCGCCTGGCGTCCCGGCCTGTGCTCCGGGCAGTGCGGGGTGGGCGGGTGCTGGCAGGCGAAAACCCTGATCCGGAACAACGGATCCCTTTGGAACAACGTCCCATTTAAGTCCTGTCTGGTCGTAAATCGTCAGGACCGTGCGGGGAACGGCCTTGCACCTGCAGCGCTTCACATCCTGTGGCAGTCAAACCCTCCAAAACCCGAAGCATTTCCCACAGATCTGCCCTGTACCCTGGAAACTGCTTTCACCTTCTCGTTGACTTCAACGGCCTTGGGAGGCACGGGAGGATTTTCCAGGCTTCAGCGTTATCCCCACGCCTGACCTCAGCCCTCGGCTCATGGAAGCTGAGCCGTGACCCCAGAGTCGGTCATCGGCTTAGCCGGCATGGGCCCACCTGGGATCTTGGCCATTTCATCCTATCTTAATTCCTGTTTTAGTTCAAAAGGCTGTTTTGTCAATGAAAGGGTCAAATTATGTACTCAGCTGATAGACATAGTGATAGGGAACAATAAAGTTAGCATTGATTGCAGGGAAGAAACTAAGGGTTCCTGGAGGACTATGTGTTGTTACTGTAAATTCAGCTTGAAGAAGAAAAGCTCTGGAAAAAATATCCAGTATCTTATATATATTCTTACTTTGTTTTGTTTCAGCCCTTAAAGCCCAGCACAGGTTAAAGCACATATTTGGAGAGATTAAAACTCTCTTGGGTGTTACATGATCAAAATTTGTAGTGTTGGTAACTTAGGGTGTCAGAAAGCTTTGATTAGAGTTGGCTTTTTGGTTCTTATATTAGACTACCCGGGGCCTCTCCAATAGATTTGTCAAAAAGTATATATTTTTTTCCTGCCATATGAGATTATTCCCAGTTTTTATGTACATAGATGCAGGTGTATTTCTCTTACTATGAGGGGGATGTCCAGAGTTGGAGTTGCATGCACCTATGAAACACTCTGGGAAGAAAGATGCCGTGCAAGATATTTCCTTAGTTTTGGTCCTGCTATTCATAAATGTACTTCTGGACTTCTGTGTTTGCTGCTTTGTAGCTATAGCTGTCTATTTATGCGCTCTGAGCTGAGTGATTTTGGGCTTTAGCAGGGGATAACATGTGAATTTAAGGCAGTTTTGCGTGGGCTATTGGGTCACGGGGAGTAGAGAGCATGAATGAGAATATAAAGATATAAGGAAAAACTGAAATATGGACAGCTAGGAAGCAGTATCAGAATCATTGTGTCCTTACAGTATATGGATATGGGCCTACACATTTATATACATATATTTATGCCATATGAAATGTCATAAATACTCTTGTAACAAATGGTATTTGGAATTATTTAAAGTCTTTTAATTTTTATTCAGTAGCCATCAAAGTCCAGGATTGAATAGGATCAGATTACAATATTTAAAGTATCTTCTCTAAATGACCCATGAAGTGCCTGGGGAACCTGGACAAATCACTTCCAAAAATAGCCCATGTCTTAATTTCTATATAATTAACATTCACTTGTGTAAGACTGTTTGCAAAGGAATCTGTGCAGTACTTTCTGATAATATTTCTGTGCTCTTTTATATTTTTGAATTATCTCAGTTTCTAAAAGTGTAATATATTACACTTAAAATTGAGCTGGGAAAAAAAAAGCGAGATTTAAGTAACCATCTCCTTGTTGTAGAAAAAGCCCCTGAAGTTAATGCAGTTTCAAAGCCTTTGCATTTCCAAAACCAGGATCTATTTAAGCTGACAATTCCGAAGTGAATGGAAGGAGAACATGTGATCCTTTGGACATGCTCATAGTATTTATGACCATTGTATAGAGTTTGATAATGGGAATTTTGTGGTTTAAAAGGAATGGATTACTTATTTTTTAAATATTGGCATGATTTGATTGTGCCTTTTTATTTAAAATGTCTTTCTTTTTCTGTTCCCCCCTTGATTTTGCTTTACATTACTCTGCAGATTCCTTCAGAAGAGGAGATCTCGCTCCCGGGAGCACATGTGGATTCACACGTCACATGCAGAGCTACGCTCTCGGTCGGCCTGAAGTTCCTTTTCAGACTAAGTCATTTGTAACTGTAGCTGCTACATCCTGCAAAAGGAGACCTGGCCGATTCCTGCCCTGCTCAGGGACGGGTTTCTGTGTGCTGCTGTTTGCCAGTCAAGGTTGTTCCTGCACTAGTGTCCTGAGGAACAAATCCAGGTGTGAGGTGCTCTTCAGAAAAGCAAGGGATTCGCGCCAGCCATGTCACTAGCTGAGCAGGTCTCACAGCTCTCTGACTCTGTGGGGCTCTGTTACTAGTCACGCCAGAACTCTTGGCCTCCAACGTTGATGTTGAGCATTTTGTGTTTCAAGGTTTTGAGGAAAATGCAGAGACGGCACAGCAGCAACACCGACAGCGTTCCTCCTGAAAGGGAAGTCTCTCTTCGTACTTTTCGCTGCCGTTTTCCTTTCTAGAAAGCAATGTTCTGATTTGATTGAATGGTGTATTTCGTGGTTTAGAGGACAGAACCTCCGGAGTCAGAAAGGCCTGTTCTTACTATATGTAGAATATGTAGGGCAGCTTGACTTTTCTCCTTCATATCAGTGTTTTAACTGCTGACAACTGCATCATTCAGGTGTGATGATCCAGTATGGCACATCCTGCCCCATAATCCTTACACTTGACTTGCAGGTGGGATGTTTTGCCCTGTAGAGCTCTGGAAGAGAGATTCATGGTACAATCCTACGGGGATCCTGAGTCCTGTCAACCTGACAGAATCAGTCTGTAGGGACAGAGGCTATTTTTATTTCTAGTTGTAAAGATGTTCAAAAAGTCTGCTGGTCTAAAACTCCCTATTGATATGACTCATCAGATTATAACAATTTTGGATGAGCCATTGCATCATCCCAGAATTTGTATCTAGCTTCATGTAGGCAAGTATTTTAAAGTAGAGTGTCCCTAATTCATTTCTGTAATTATAATGTCAGTAAAAGCAGGCTTGCTGCTGTTGTTGTTCTGGTACTAAATATTCCCTGGTGCTTTCACAAGAGTAGTGTTTGGTTTTTGGTTTTGTTTTTTGGTTTTCTTTTTTTCTAAAGGCAAAACTAATCCAATTATTCTAAGGCAAAGATGGAACAAATTTCATTGCTCTGGCTGAGCTGAGATAGTAAGTGAAAGATTCTGATTGCAAGCAGTCACTATATATTTCTTAGTGTGTTTTTGTAGGTTGGGGTGAAGGTTGATGTTGTGGCCACTTCTAGCATGATGCCACTCTTAATTTTAGGGCAAAAGAAAGCCATATTCAACTCATCTTCACCATGATTCTAGCCGAGGCTAAGTACAGTCTGTGGAGTTTATACCAGCAAGCCAGCCTGGAGCTTGAGAGGTGTATAAAATATCACATGAACCCTCCCAACTGTGGGCAGAATACTTTGAGCCAGGACAGACTTCTGTGGCACTTCAGGATCTGTTTGAACAGTTAAAAAATATTCCGGATGGGTATTTGTTATTAAAGGCAAAAAGTAAGTAGCATAATTTCAATTGGTTTCCATAAACACAACAATATTTTCCTTGGTAAATACATATTGTCAGTAAGGTGGCCTGGAGGTTTTTAGCTGTAGAGTGAAATTCAGATGCCACTAACAATATAACCTTTGCTTCTGTTGACTTTACAGAGTCACAATTTTATCTGTGTTTATACATTTATTTATAAGTATATAATATTCATCTGTAAGTACGTGCCTGATGAACTCCTACTTGCCGAAGCCATAGAGATGTATCCCGCTCGCATTACTCCGGGTAACATCAGCGCATTTGTCTGTACAGCTACGGCTCACCAGAGCTTTGTCGTGTTCCCAGCTGTACGGGCAGGTCTGTCACTTCACTAAGCCTGTCTCCTGTGTACGTCCCTGAACTGTGATGTTAGGTGTAAAATCCAAGATCTGGCTGATGAGAGTTTTGAACTCAAGATGCTTGTGCAGTGTCTTGTTGACTTGATTCCTTGCTGGAGCCTGTGGAGAGACGTTTGGAATGGGGTGTAGCTATAAAAAGCCTTATTAGGAGTTTGTGTAGCAGGAAGGTGTGCCTGGAGAGGGCCGAAGCTGATCCCGGAGGGAGATGCAAGCCAGTGCTCTGTGCCCTGCAAGATACCTGGGGAGGCTTTGGAGCTCTTGGGAGAGAGGAGGTTAAGGTCCCTCTATGTGCCTGCGTGTGCTCTCTCAGCTCGTGACCACTGTTTCTAAAGTTAGAGATCTCCAAAGATTAAAATCAAGAGAGACCGGAGCTGTAGGGCACATGCCTTATTTGCAGGCTTTGCCTCTTGCTGAGCTGCTTTGCTCTCCTTCTGTTGTTTGGAGAAGTATTTGCTGCCTGCCAGGTGTTCGACTGCCTAATGATTGTTCTGCCTATTACCGACATGTCCCTTCGGTCAAAACTTTCTGTGTATCCATCTCGGTACCACAATACTCAGTTCAGGAGAACAAAACATAGCTTCTATTCATATTAAGATAAAGATATCCAAGACTTTTGGAATTTAGCTGTGAGCTATCCAAAGACTCAGGAAAATCAGTGCCACATCTAGTTCTGTGCAGCGCCCAGTAAATTGGATACCACCATATTGAATTTGCTGATTATATAGTAATAAAACAATTTATCTCTCTTGGTCCATGAACACATTCTGCACATATAATGTTGGGTCAGGGACACATAAGCAGCTCTCAGTGCTTCCCTTCCGCAGTTAACTTTGTATGTTATGTTTATGTTTATGTGGGCAAGTGGTGGTCATCTCTAAAGGGGAGGGAAGATTCTGGGGACAGGTCCTTTCTTTGAGTTAGCCATATGTGGCATCTCTGTATGGCACTCTGTATATTACAGTTTTTATCTATGCTGTCCATGTGATATTAAAATCATTATAGAAGCACTGATTTTTATTTAATCTCCATTCTTTTATGTCCTCCCGTTACAGAAACCGGAGCCAAACAGTCAGCTCTGAAACCAGCGTGGATGAGAGCGGCGTCTTTGAAAGCCTCAAGGCAGAAGCCTCCTCGCCGCAGCAGCTGTTCTCGGGCCTGGCGGGGATCCCCTCGGGCGCCATCCCCACCGCCCCGTTCCAGGCAGGTTTGGTTCTGGGCTCCTCGGCGGGCGGTGGGGAAGTTTTCATCCAGATGCCAGCGCCGCGCGAGGACGGTGCAAGCCGTGCGGAGGGAGCCCCCTTTCACCACCGGCAGCAGCCCCATCATTTCCACCAGGGCCATCACCGGGGTTCGGCTCTGCTGCACATGGCCGGTGGGGATCGCCACGGGCACGCCGAGGAAGGCGCCGACGAGCAGGCCAGCACACCAGCCCCCGCCCTGTCCGAGTTAAAAGCTGTGATCGGGTGGCTGCAGAAGGGCCTTCCATTCATCCTGATCCTCCTGGCTAAAGTGTGTTTCCAGCATAAGCTTGGTAAGCTTTTGTTTGTTTGTTTGCTTTTCTGCCTTGATTGTAAGGCTGGTGGAGGGTGGTTAGGAGGCTTTATCTTGCCATGATGTCCAGTACGTTTGTCCATGTGACAGTATCTAGAGATAGTCTGGCCTGAAGGGGACATTCAAACAGACAGGGTAACCAGCTCCTCTCTCTTATCCTGCTTTTAATCCAAGCAGTTATTAGGTGGATCAGGTCCACGATCTGTTTCTGTTGACAGGTGGAAGATCAATTCTTTACCATTTTTTGCCATGGGGGCAGAGTGCCTGTGTTGGGATGGGTGGGAAGTTCTGTGCATGTACCACTGCGTGTATATAGTGGCTTCACTATGCTTTAGGTTGAATTGGAACTTTATGAGTCCAAATAGGCCTATTTTAGTGGCCCACAAATTTTGATTCCCAAGAGATCCAGAATATCATCCACTTCATTTTCTTCTAAGCTTAAGCTGCTGGTATCAGATGGTTTAGGAGAAGGGATGCTCCTGCCCAGCCTTACACAGTCTGGTGGTATCTTCTCCACAGGGATTGCTGTGTGCATCGGAATGGCCAGCACCTTCGCGTACGCCAACTCAACCCTCCGTGAGCAGGTTGCTTTGAAGGTGAGTTAGATATCTGACACCGCGATGCTCTCCACTGCCATTGCTCTTTGCATGCAATGTAATCTTGACATTGAACATCCTCTTGCACTGTAGAGATGAATGCCATTAAATGGATACAAATTTGTTAGAAAAAGAGTACCCTGACATAATCCTTGGTTCCGCTGTCTACTTCATTCATGCTCTCCCATACCTTCTATCCTGCTGTTTTGTGAAACTTGATAGAATAAAAGGAGGGAGAGTAAGAGTCAGGGGCACTGTAATCTGCTTCTGGCACTGTCGTTGACCAGAGGTACATCTTCAAGTAGGTCTCTGTACCTCAGTTTCCTGTTGTGCATAGCAGAAGTGATAAAATCCATTTCACAGGCATGATGAGGTTTTATTTATTAGCATTTAGATAAATTTTCAAGATGTTCAGCTGAATTTGTACATGTATTACTCATCAGTATTTTTTAATGCTTTCTTGATATATAAATGTAAAGAAACCAGCAGATCACTTCAGGTCTTATAATTTTCAGTGTCAGCAGAATACTTCAGCATTACTACAAGCACACAGCTAGAATTGCTTTTCTGTATAAATGAAATGGGTGGTACAAATGTGTACTTATGTGAACCAGCAGCCATGGAAATAAATATGATACAATGCTGAATAAGCAGATAAATTGCACAGTCATACCATAGATTGTTGCTGTTGCCTTGCACTTTGCGCTTCTGTCTCGCCAGCAATGCTGTTAATCTGTCTGCCTTAAATTTTAACATCTGTGGCTGCTGAATAGCTACGAAGAGCTATTTTCTTATTAAATCAGCCTGCAAGAAAAATTGTTTATTCCTCAAGAGTAAGCTCTATTCTCCAAATTTAAACTGGGCCAAGGTCCAGGACAAGACCTGTGTTTTTCTGGCTTCTGCCTGTTATGTTCCTTGTTTTTAGAAATGCATAATGTGCACTTTCTCTGATCCATAATTGTATCCTAAGTCAAAAATGAATGCTCTAGAGCACCTTTGCATTCAGATAACATTCATATGTGCTTCGTGTAACACTGAGTTGTATTTAACTGTGCCTTATTTTAAGTGACTTTGAATGTATTTATAAAACAGTCCCTTCATGAAGTCTCCTTACAGACAGGTGAAAGCTAAAAATTATAGACAATATGTGGAGCTGTTTTTGACCTGCTTGACAAGCTAAGTTTTAAATATCAGTATAATTTGTATGTAAAGATGCCAACGTTGAAAGCAGTGTTCTGCAAGTACGACTTTCAGCAGAGTATTTCCATTAATTTCACTGAAGTTGTTTTATGTGAGAAGGTTGGGTGAGCGAGAGACAGTTGTGCTTGTGTTTATACATGTCTGTACCTAGCAGCCTATTTTTGAGTCCTAGTCTTAGTAAATAACTAATTACTGAATGCCTAGTTGTGTGTTTGTGTCCCCTGGGTTGGTCTTGCATTTTTCAGCAGCCAAAGGCTCAGTGCAACCCTTGAGAGTTTGAGTAAATCTGCTCTGCTTCTTGTTCTTGCTCAGGAGAAGAGGTCGGTATTGGTTGTCTTCTGGATCCTGGCCTTTCTCACTGGAAACACCTTCTATTTGCTCTACACGTTCAGCTCACAGCAACTGTACAACAGGTGGGCAAAATTTACATTGTGTATGATGGAAGAAGGTAGTGTTTAATGCTATGTAGGAAAAGAGGAAGCTCATTCATTGGGAAGAAATGTTTGTTCTCATGGTATCTGCCATCTTTGCACACAAGTCAAATGAGGATGGATAATTTCTCATAATGAGACTTACAGCTTTCCGTTTTGACTGCTGTGACTGAACTTAAAGGACAGCTGTTGGAAGCAGACTAGAAACCAACACATTGATTTTCCTCTTCCTGTAATGTTTTCTCTGCAGAATATCAAGCTTTTAGTCTGTTACTGGGGATAAACTGGATATGAAATAGTAATATTTTACTTCAGTGTACTCAGGGCTTGGAGGCATTTGGAGCTAGGGTATTCAATCTGCACATTAAAGTTCAAATAAAACTATTCTCAAGTACAGATAAGTTAGTATTCATGGATTTGGTCCAGTAATAGCCTTGCCTCTTATAAAGGAGGGATTAAATAGCAAACAGGAAGCTGAGAAACACACCGTAAACAAGGGGATGCCATTAGAATAAACAGGATGAAATGGAGAAATACCAAACTTAGTTGATGAAGAAAGTAGTTTGGATACTAATATTTAATACCATATGAATTATCCTCCCAATGAAAATTGTATTTGTCCCATTGAAAGGAACTTGGAATTTCCACCTGAAAATATTTCCTGGAAAAATACAATGTGTATAGCCTGGATTAGTGGACATCTAGTGTGGCTAGGTGTCTCCCAGATGTTTGGTTTGTTTGTAGATGATGCCATTGCTTTCCAGCCTCTTCCCTACGACGCTGTCTGTGCAGCGGAAGAGTCAAGGTCTGCTCACAACCCTGGTACCATTTGGGCCAACCTAATGCAGTTGGTTATTTGAAGCTTGTGTGTTAAACTGCTTCAGTAATGGGGAAAGCAGCATTTCAATTTTTCTACAACCCCTTCTCCTCTAAATTATTATAGCTTGAAGAAATAGAAAGGTGTGGCTTTTGGATGGGTAGGCTTGTATGTGTGGGTCATCATGTGAGATGGTGAGCACTGCGACCCTCTGGAAAGGGGTTGTGGGAAGGAGTAAAAGGGAAGAAACAGGTATGAGGGGCCATTTTCTGTGGCAGTAAAAAGAAATTTGTTTTTGCCACATGGAAGTAGTTGGGCTCTAGAAAACAAGAATGAGATGTCGGGGGCCTATCAGGTTAAACATATGGATGGGAACAGTTTAAATAAAAGAGAAGTCATCATTAATAAGAAGGTTTCAGCAAGCTGGGACCATTTCACAAAATGTACAGGTGATAGGTTATGTACAGCAGTGGTGGGCAGCAGCTTCACTGCCCAAGCCCGGTTCCTGCCAGTGGTTCGGTGATGCCTGCTGTGCTTGGCCTCCTGGATCTAGTGCTTGTGTGCCGGGACCTGTGCCCAATTCACCAAGCAGGCCAGTGAAGTCAGAAACAACTACAAATTTCATATTTGTTTCTTTCTGGTTTATTTTTAATTTCCTGATCTATTTACTTTTTCTTTGCTTGTTTCTAGCCCACGATTCATAGTAAAGTCTCTGATTCTGTTTGATTCTGTTTTTGTTTTTAGGGTTTAATTTTACCCGTTGTGCTGTACCAGTGTTGTGAGTATTTTAATTCATGCTCAGGCTTTTTATTTTGGGTTGGTTATTTTCTTTTTTTTTTTATTGTTAAACTTTTGCTTTTTACCATGAGGCTTTAGTTGGCAAATATTCTGAGAAGTCCCTTTCTTGCACTCTGAGTGTGACCCTGAGCTCAATGCTGCTCTCCTCAGTAGCTGTGGCCTGTTTGACTGGTGTTGGCCCAGTCATAGAATCATAGAATTACAGAATGCTCAAGGTTGGAAGAGACCTCTAGAGCTCATCTAGTCCAACCCCCTGCACATGCAGGGTCACCTAGAGCACGTGGCACAGGACTGCGTCCACGCGGGTTTAGAAGATCTCCAGAGAAGAAGACTCCACACCCTCTCTGGGCAGCCTGTTCCAGTGCTCTGTCAACCTCACTGTTAAGACATTTTTCCTTAAGTTCCTGTGGAACTTTTGGTGTTTCAGTTTGTGGCCATTCCCTCTAGTTCTGTCAGTGGCCACTAGTGAAAAGAGGCCAGGACCATCCTCCTCACTGCCTCACTTGAGGTACTTCTAGACACTGCTCAGGTCCCCTCTCAGCCTTCTCGTCTCCAGGCTGAACAGGCCCAGCTCCCTCAGTCTCTCCTCATAGGGCAGATGTTCCAGGCCCCAGCTCTGCTGCAGCTGGGGAGGCTGGCTGGTGACTGCAGGATCTCTGCAGCACGTGGCCCTTGCTCAGGCCCGGTGGGTTTGTTATGTTGGGGGCGCTGCCTTTCGAGCGCCACCTCAGGTAAGAGATGCTGATTAACACAGCGCAGCTCTTGGTCTACTGCAGTAACCAAGGGGAGCCCTGTCAATGGACAACCCTCCTGCAGCCCTGATGAGGCAGCTGTAGACAAAGAAACTGGTCTCATACCGGTTCACTTTGTCGCCTGCTTGTTTCACCTGCACAAGTGCCTTAGAGTCCTGCCCTTCGAGCAGTTCAGCCCGTGGCAAGACAGGTCTGCCAGACGTGGTGGTCTTGCGCTGACCATGACTTCCCTGTCCAAGGAAGCACAGCTACTGATAACAGAGACTTAAGGGAGAAGGTGTTTCAGGTCATTCCCTGTCTGTTAGGATGGAAGGATGTAAGTGGGTGGGTTTTCACAAGCAGTTCTGAGTTACCAAAGCCTATGGACTAAACATGCTAGTGTTAGACCAAAAATTCTCTTCCAGCATGGACTGTAAGGCTTAACTTTCATAACAAACTTTGTACAAGTTTCAGTCTGGTTCTCTGATAACGGGTAAACCTGATGACCTTCATAGAAGTAGGCAAGAGCAGACGAAGTTAAGAGGCCAAGAGGAAACATGGGTCAGGTTTACATGTCCTACTCCTGTTACCCTTGAGAGCTTGTGCTCGCCTTCAGAGGAGCTCTTGGGCCTTCGCTAGGCAGCGGTGAACAGAGCTAGTGTCAAGAAGCCTATGGGAGGATGATACCACTTTGCTGATATTTGAGCCTTGCTGTCATGCCTTTCAGCCTTATATTTCTGAAACCCAACCTTGAGAGGCTGGACTTCTTTGACCTAATGTGGGTTGTGGGAATCACAGACTTCGTGCTGAAGTACCTCACCATTGCGCTGAAATGCCTGATCGTTGCCCTGCCTAAGATCATTCTAGCTGTCAAATCAAAGGTAAGAGTCTCTTCTTGCTTTTTGTCTGATGGCTTCTGTCTACTAGAATTGTGCAGCTCGCTGATCCTTGTCTTGGTGTGCCTAGGAGAAGACAAGACTCACAGATCATTTCTCTTCCATGATATGTAAGGTCCAGATATAGGGATGTACCAGGCCTAACTTCCAAAACATTTTTGTTACCTTTTCTCTCTTGAATTACCTTTTCATATTTCCATTCATAATCTTACAGATCTGTTTTGTAGCTCTACTTAGTAATATCTGCATGTCAGTGGTAAATACAGCAAAATATTATTTGTGTTCGGTAAAGAAACTTTCTGGCAGCTGTTGGGGTTAAATGCACAATATAAATGCAAGATACTATCATTAATTGCCGAAAGTCTCAGGCAGGGCACTTAAGGGGATATCTAAACTGGGAATAGTTTTGCTTACAAATGACATGGGTGGCAGGGGATTTGAGCGGTTTGTCCCTGCGCAGCAGGGCTATTGAAGATAGTTATTAATTTAGTTCTGGCATTTGTCCAGATCCTTTTTTTTTTTTTTTAAAGTTTTCTTCTTCTAGTATTATTATTTTATTTTGGGAGATTAATACGCTAGGTCAGAGCATAATCCAGCCTGGGGAAGGAGGGTAAAGTGATGTGAATAGTCTTCCCAAGATAAATTGCGGAGCTAGAAAAGGTTCACAGCCTTTGCTTGCATGTCTAAGAGCTATCCCAAGTGCTCATTAATCCTTGTCGGGAGAGAAGAAAGAGATGGGGTCTTTATTTGCAGCTACAGTGGGACGCTGGTAAGATCACATCTGTCAAGGGCCTATAATGACTCAGAGCACAGATGCTTCATTTTTAATACCTTTTTCTGGATAGCAATATTTCTCACTTTTTTTTTTTTAAGTCTCTTTTTTGTCTGGATGTTGGTGGTGGGGTCTCACTGTCCCCTAACATCTGAGACTGTTGTTACCTACTGGTAGCAGTCTGGATTTATTTTTGTATCCCACTCTCTGCACTGCAACCATTAATCCAAGGAGGGATGAGATCTGATGTAGCAAATTAAGCCAAATCAAACTGGGATGGGAGAACTCCAAGAGATCCCCAGGATGCCATAGGAATTGTAATTGGTAGGCATGTAGCTGAGCTCTTTCCATGCACCTGATAAACCAGCTTACTTCTGCAGCCTGGCACAATGCTGCACATCCATTTCATCAAAGTAGATTCAAACATAATATTCGTCTTAGTTAAAACTATTCTAATACTCTATGTACTTCAGAAACATTAACTATGAACAAATTCTGATGAACATATTTGCAATCTGCTGCCTTAAAGCTCACCAGACACAAAGTTATTCTTTCTCCCTCACTGTTGGAAGCAGTGTTGGTGCTTGATGCTGCCCTGAGGTTTGTGAGCTCTGGAAGGCTGCAGCATGCTGGTGCCAGGGAACAAGCTGCACAGACTCACAAGGAAGGGTTAGAAGTTTTGTTTGGAAACTAATGTTTAATGAGGATTTTTCTGCTAATATAACAAGCCAGAGCAGCCTGTAATTCCCCATAATCCAGGACCTGAAGGGGAGATTGCTGCACTGTCAGGAGGAAAATCATCATAGTTGTGAGGGGGATAGGGCTGACTTCTCTTCCTTGCAGTATCTTCCTGCTGGCTGTTAGTAGTGAACGGCAGAACTCGCTCATGGATGGGGTCTCAGGGGTTGTGGTCCTTCTGTGCTCAACTTTGAAGCATTTTTTTTCAGATTTTCTTTGAAGTTCCAGAGTTAGTCTGACTTTTCATGCTTCTCCTTGAGATTCTTATTATCTTCTCTGCCTGTTATGTGGTTTTCATTAGTATGTTCATGCCAATGAGAGGTATCTCCTCTGAATATCTTTCAATTTCTCTCTCATACCTCTTCCTATTGCAATTAGAGTAAGATCAGATTCTTTTTTCTGTATCAAGGACAGTTTTACCTCCCCTCAGTCCTCTTTGTAGACTAAATAACTCCCTTTTTTGTGTCTTTTCTTAAGAGACAATTCTTACCAAATCCTTATTTTTATAGTTTTCTTCTGGACTGTCTTTAATTTCTTGCAATACCTGAAATTACCAATAATCCTACCTAGTGATCTGATCTTGTTGGTGCTGGATAGAGCGAAATGGCCCCACATGGGTGACTCTATGCCCTGCATGTGAACACCACTGCTTTTTGCATTCCTGTATAATGGTAGTCTTTGTAATAGTCTGATGTAATAGAATATTGTGTATCATGTCCAATCTGCCATCTTTTATAATCCTTCGGTCTTTTTTCCTGCAAACATACCAGCTAATCTACTACCTTGCTTCTTATTCTCTTTGCACAATGATTTGTGCCTTCATGTATCAAAATGCCTTACGTTAATGAATTGCACCCATGCATTTGAGACCATTTATCCAAACTGTCAAGATCATTTTGGATTACAAACCTGTCCTTCCGTGTATTTACAGCCCTTCTCAGTTTAACATTAAATGCACACTTGATGAGCACGCTGCGTCCCATGAGCAAGGTCATTAACGGAGATAGAGTACAGCACCAAATCTTGCTTGGCTCAGTTAGATGCATCTTTTCATTTTGACAATGAACAGAGGAAAAATGTGGACTGGGGCAGTCAGTACTTCCAGTCGAAGGCAGCTGCATCAAGTATTTTTGTTGGGGCCCTGTAACAGGAAGAATAACATTGGGTTTAGGTGAAATTAAGAACCATCTGGGAGCCAGTGTGATTTTAGAAGAAAAAAGTGAAGAGGCTTCCCATCGGCAACTGAACAAAGATTTACTAAAGCAGGACTTCATGCTACACCTGAGAAAAGCGACCTAACATTAAAGAGCAGAAAGAAAGGTTTGTCTTTGTAATCCAAACACAGAGAGCAGGAAACATCATTTCAGGGCCAGAAGTGGCTGACAAAGCAAAGTGATAGTCAGTGCTGGAAGCACAAAGCATGAGGACTGCTGGGCTGCATGTGTCATCTGGACACAAGCAGGCAGAGAGCTCCACTCTCGGGTGTCTCAGAAGTGAAATATTCCTGCCAGCAACCCCTCCAAAGAATGGGCAAAGGATACAAATTCAGCAAGATAATCCCAGACTTCCCCAGGTTCCAGATCAGCTCAGAAAGCGGAGATGACACAGGAAGCTGAGAGACACTGCAAGAGGTTGGAAGAGAGGGAAGGAAGAGTTAGTGGATGGGAGAGTGACTTTTAAAGAAGCAGAGAAGAAAGGTGACCTTAACATGAGAGTTCAGTCTTGTAACTCTGCAGTCAGGAGAAGTTTGTGAGAAAAGGAGCAGACTTAGAGCTAAGGACATCCCTCCTTCCCCCAGGGAGGAGGCCAGTTTGAGCTGTGCTGACTTGTGCCCAAAGCTGAGTGCAAGTTTTAATAGCAGCTGGGCTCATCATTTCCTTGGGAGAGGGGGGCTTGGCTCCCGCCCTGCATGCTTAAGGCCTCTTCATTAAAAAAAGCAAATAAGATCATTTGGTTCAATGTAAAATGAATTAAAGTAAATTAAACTGCAGGAGCCATGTGGCCTGCAGAGGCTTCCATTGTTGTACACACGTAAATGGCAGCTTTTCATTTTCAGTGCTAAGGAATGACAGCTTGAGGGGGGTGGAATTAAAAATAAGGAAATAAATAATAAAAAGACACAGTTGCCAAAGATTTCCGTTTAGGAAATCCCAGGTGCCTGCAAGTCTCCCATCCCCTCCCCTGCTGCTGTCAGCAATCTCAGCTGACATCCTGGGCAAGGGGGAGAGAAAGGGAACTGGAATAAAAGACCAGGGGATGTGGGTGAGATACGGGTACTACAGAGGCACTTTTGTCTAAGGGTCCTCATAGAGGGTGCATAGAAGTAATAATAACAACAACAACAACAAAAAGTAAAGGGCCAGGTAAGGTTTTCCTTTGGATGCTCTTGATACAAGAGCACAGCAAAGTTAGAGGAGCACCAGGGATCCCTGAAGCTTAATTTTGAGGAGAAGATTGAAAATTGAAAGGGAAAACACTAAACATGTTTGTTTTAAAGGGATAATGTGAAATTCTGATTTGAATAAATACTTGTCACTTTTTTTTTTTGGAAATCTAGATTTAGGCATTGTAAATTAGTTTACTGTTCTGTGATGATGCTGGCCTTTCCTGAAGTTTTTTCCCTTGCGTTGTGAAAATGGTGTCAGTAGCAAGTGTACATCAACCCCTGGTGTTGTAGACTCCTCACTGTGTCATCCATACTGGTTTTTGTTCATTTTTCAAAGTACCATCTCAGCAGTACTGGCTGGTGTATATAAGCTGTCATTCTTTACATAGTTTTGTGCTTGGACTTTGGACCAGATGCCATTTTCAGATGCATCTGATGTTCCCAACTGGGGATGGTGAGAGCTTCACCACGTAAAATGGCACATTAAGCTTTTAATGTTCCTTCTGAGGTGGCATCTTTGACAGAGTGAATATCAGAATGTCGCCTACGGAAGGCAGCTTGATTTGGATCCTTGGACTGCAGCAAGCTGTCTTCAGGTGTATGGTACCAAATGGCAGCTGAGCTTTTACAGCTTTGTATATTTGGAGTCTGAGGCTAATAAGAGCTTTGAACATCCCCAGCACTCTTGCAGTGTTTGAATGGCACACAGGCACGTACACAGGCACTTCGGTTATCACATCACCACCTACTTCTCTGGGCACATCCATGTATAATTAGCCAATTATTGCAAGAATGAGCAATCACTTACCTTACAATAATGAGGATTATTTAGCAGCCTGGCTCCATCTTCTCTGTATCAGAGCTTGCTACTGCCAGAGCAGTTTCTCTAGGCCACAGCTTCGCCCGGATGGTTCACATGTGGACAGAGTGTTAATTCTGATACGATGGCAGCAGCCTATCTCTGATGTTCATCCAGCCATGGGGCCAGATATGTTTCAGTCATTTAAGAGGGAGAAGTTCGTGTCTTACTCTATGGCCTGAGAAGAACGAGATGTCTCGGAGCATTCGAGTGCTCTGGATGCTGCTGACTAAACACAGAGAAACGTTTACACAACTCGTGTCACCGCCAGGTATCGGCGCATGGATTATGTGTTACAAAAAATATACAGGTAAAGATAAAGATCTTCCTGTTTCATGGCTGCCCTCTTTTGCACTGTGATATATGCAAGTAATCCTCACCTCTTCCTGGTGAGGTGAGAGTGATGGGTTCACTTTCTCTCCTTCATGGACCCTCCTTGAGAATCACCGGAGTGCTCTTGGGGAGGAACTCGCTTGCATGGGTTTGCTCCTCCTAGACAGCAGCCCGAGCCTGGATCCTTGAGAGCCGTGCCTGGAAACTGTGTGCTGGTTCTGCAAAGACTGCACTCTCTTACTGCAGAGTGGAGCAGCTGTGGTGTCCTTGTGACAGAAATGTGGAATTTTTCACTTGGAAAGGAAAAAAATTAGCTGAAGTGTAGGACGAGGTAGTGAAGAATTTAGCTTCTCTCCTCTCCCTACCACCCTCTGAAAGTCACTGCTGTTAGACTTGCTTTTTAAAGGGACTCATTGCTCATAGGTGCTTTTCAAGTTTAACTTCCCAGTTCGAGAAATCTGAGATGTGACCTTCAAAAATGACATGCACTGACATATCTCACATAGGCTGGGTTTTCTCGTATACAGCTAAAATGCAAAATACAGAGAGTCTCACATTCTCTCTGTTTCCACCTTGGAATTACTCCTAATTAGTCTTGCATGGATTTGTACTAGCCCCCTCTGTGCCACAATCCTGTTTGCTGTTCCTATCCAACACTTTTTTCTTGTATTGGCAATGTGACCTGAAGCCTCCGGAGAGCATGCTCTCCTCCCATCCAAACTGCCAGCAGGTCTCAAAAGTTTTTCTAGCATCTTCCTGCTTCAGAATACATCCTAATGCTGCTGGCAACAGAACAAGTGAGACTTGGAACTTCCCTTGAGTGCTAATCACAATTTACAGTTGCCTCATTGCAACTTCTCTCACTTCTCTTGCATCCCATTTTAGTTATGCTCTGCAAAAACTTAGTGTCTTTCTCCATGTCTTTCTGAGGAGGCGCACATGCACATTATGCAGAATCTTACATCAAAAGAGATAACAAAGCCAGAGCTTAGTTAGGATATGTGGGAATTAGCATGGCTTCCACAACTCTAATTTGCTCCCCTTTGTGTGTGCATATATAGTGATTTGGTTTAATTACAAGATGACTTGTTGTTTTCCTGTACAACTTCATTCATCACCAAACACTGTGCTGTGCCCTGCAGATGAAACAAGGTGGTGTACTGAGAGGAGCTCTTGTAGAAATTGAAACATTTGTGGAGAAAACAGGCTGTTGGAAAAAGAAGGGTGTTCTGTAAGGTAGAGCATCCTGAAAGCTGCTTTGGAGAATCGAATTCTATTCTGCTTGCCAGATAATTCCTATATGAAGCTAGGAAAGCCATGTACAACCTCAAACTGAAGTCAGTGTCTTAATTTTGTAATCATTTAACATTAAAAGTACTTCGTAAAAAGTATGATCCCAGACATCTCAGTTTGGACACCAAAAAAATATTGCTTTTAACCTTACTCTTCATATGTCTTAAGTTTTCATTTAGAAAATGCAGATGATAGGAGCCCCTCACTCCAGCCAAAGGTGTGAAGATGAAGATCTTATATTGTAATAGTGACTTGTAAAGGACTGAGGACATTTTGATAATTCCCTGCTTGGAGCAGAGTATCTGGAAGAGCATAGACTTAACATCAATTAATGAGCGTATAACTGAATGCTGAAGTCACCTGTTTAATGAGTATCACTCACCCAGTAAGGAAAAAAGCAGCCGTTCACATTATTAAAGACTGCAGTACTGCTTACACAGAGGGACAGTGGAGTTTGGGCAGAGAACCTGCATTCTGCTCCTCCAGAATGAATGCTTGATTAAAATACAGAAATGCTCCTTTAACATGGTAAAGGAAGGGGAGGAAAAGGGAGTCACTGAGTTTTTCAACCTAAGCATTCTGGACGGAAGGTCCCGAGTGCAGCACCGCAGGACTCATCATGTATAATGAGAGCCAATTAATGATTTTCCCACTTGTGCTAGTGGAGCAGTGGATAGCAGTGGGCTGTCAGCTTTTACAAAAGCTGGCCCAAAGGAGGAAGCAAGGTAAGGCTGTACTAGCAGGGTGCCCCAGTATGGGTGACAACGGAGAAGTGACACTGGGGCGTTTGAAGCCTGGTGCTGCGCCTTGTTGCAGCCAGCTTCACCTTTCCTGTCTTCCCTGGCTCCTTTGCTTTAGGTCTGGTCACTTCTCCAGTCTCACCACCTTCATCCCTGGCACCATTCCCCTCCTCATCCTCATCTCCTCCCCCCTCTATCTTCTCTGCTTGGCTTTCATAACCTTATTCCATGAACTGCCGCCTGTTGCAAGGGCCTGACACGCTCACTGCTCCATGGGGCTGGTTCCTGCACAGCCTGGACACATGCTGAGGCCACAACACGCTCACCACCAACAGCTCTCCTTAATTTTCATCACAGAAATCTGCTTATTTTCTAGTATTCGAGAGAAGATCCTCATTTTTATCAGCTATTTCCCTGGGTTTTTGTGAAAGAGGAGAAGATAAGTTACCAACAGAGAGGCAGCTCTTGCATTTTTCAAGCTCGTGTTCCAACCCAAAGATGAACAGGAGAAATAATTGTATTCCTACTTAATATAACAGTGTTTTCCCCTAATTTTGAGAAATACCTACAATCCTTTAACTGAAATTTTCAGAGGAAAACTAAAGCTTGAGACATTGGAAAATTTCAACGTAGTTAGCCAAAATGTAATAAAGAAGCAGACGACAAAAAGAAGCATTGAGCACATTTGGAAGTGAGGGCTGCTGCTTACAACAACTTGTTGGTGTCAGAAAGCTAAATTCCACTGAAGTTACAAGGAATTAACCCTGTTTTCTAGGGTGCTGTTTTCTAGGAGCAAGACCCCACTTGTTTCTGGCTCAGCTCTTTGTAGATAGTTCTGTTTTTCTAGATGTTTTTTTCGAGTTTACAAACCAACTAGAGTTGCCCTCATAGAGGAGGGCAGCCTGGGACTCGGATGAGCCTTACATTTCTGCTGTGCACCCTTTCCTGGCCCTGTCCAGCTCCTCCCTGTCCTGGCTGCTCTCCCCTGTCCTGGCTGCTCTTACTGAGCTGGCCAGCAGCTCACTCAGTGCTCAAGTGGGGGGTGTTAAGGGGCTGAGTGGGGGGTTGCAGCCGTTTAAAGCTGTTAACTACACCCTTGTCGGGGTGTTAACAGGTATCTAGCTGCTAAGCAATCCTGATACCCTGCGTTTGCACTAGTTAATGATGAAATCCTGACGGCTTTGTCGGGAATGGGGATTTTGTAGTTAAAATGGAAGTTTTCCACTTGCTGCAGGTTTGTCTTGCAGCCTCGCTCTGTCTCGTAGCTTGGCAGCCCGCCTGCGCCCACAGGGCTGCCTCTGTGACCCATCTTTCCTTAAATCTAGCTGTGGGCTGCAGTGTTGCTGTGTCTGCCGTAGAGAAACCTCAGTTTTGCCAAGATTTGCAGCTCCAGAGAAAAGGACCACAGAATTGCCCTGAACACCGGATCCAGAGTTTCCTTTCCCAGCACAGCCTGCTAGGGAAGCAAGGCTGGAAGCAAAAGTGAAAGCCCAGCGGGAGGAAGAACTAAGAGAAAGGGAGCAGTTTGTGCCCTGGCTTCCTGCTAGCCTGCGCCGGAGCCGCCGCGGCCGCAAGTCGCAAGGAGGAAGCGGCAGCTGCAGCCCTCTGCCACGGGCGCTCCACGAATAACCATGATGGTATTGAAGCACCAGGCTGGAGAAAGTCCTCTGTGCTAATTTAATAAATTGCTTGCATTTAGGACCCCAGCTTGTTGCTGTTACGTTTCTGCTATGTGATGCCACCTGGGATTAACAAGGAGGAGGGGATGAAAGCAGCACCGGTCCGTTAACAACCGCCGGTGTGACCTCACTCCGTGTCCCGGGGGATATGAGATCATGAGAATGCCAGAGCTCTCCGAAGGGCTCGATTTATTCGGCGCAGCATCGCGGCCTGCGAGTGATCTCATCCTGCAGGCCCCAGGGAAGGGTGCTGCGGGCGCCTCTCCTCCTGGACCGCGCAGGACTTAATCCCCTCGTCAGGCCTCGCCGGTTAATGACTGACCTGCGGTGACTTCACCGATGACAAAGCTAATTAGGACAACACAGCAAAATTCCAGGGGAATTTCCCTCCTATCAATAGGATAACATTGACATAAAAGCAAAAATCTTAGTCTGGATAATGTCATTACAGCTTGTGGTAACTTCTGTGCTCATTGCCTGTTACCCCAGCTCTGCCTTTCAAAGAGCATGGAACGGAACACGCTTCATCAGCAGCATGGGGAGACCCTCTGATAGGCAAACTTAGTTAGCCAGCTTCCTAGTGCTTGTCTTAGGTGTTTTGAGTGAGAAATGATGTAATTGGGAATAATCTGTATCAGTTGTTCTACCTCACAGCTGTAGGAAGCCAGGAGGAGTTAACATTACCTTGCAGGTGTCCTTCAAGGAAGGCAGGCTTCCTAGTTGAAGTGAGCACCAGAAGACGAGGATTGCTTTAAGCTTTACAGAAAAAATGCTGCCTGTTCTCTAGGTTGCTTTCTTCTGCTTGTGCAGCTTTGACTCCTGCATGTGCAAAACTGTTTAGATTCCTGACAGTGATAATGCATTGTTTATTTGCAGGGTAAGTTTTATCTGATCATTGAAGAGCTGAGCCAGCTGTTCCGCTCCCTTGTCCCAATCCAGCTGTGGTACAAATACATCATGGGAGATGATCCATCAAGCAGCTACTTCCTAGGGGGGATCCTGATCATCCTGTACAGCCTGTGCAAGGTGAGGAATATTTCCTATATCTGGCCAGGGAGCTGTAGCAAGGGCAGAGCAAAAAGAAAACCTGAGGGGAACAGATAGACCTTTTGATCTTTGCTACTATGATCCGAGAAGGGGAGATGCAGCAAGAAGAGGCAGCATGTGCTTTAGTTGCTGAAATCATTTTCTAATCATCACTGCATGGGCATTGGCAGCTAAAGAAAGATCTGTTATTGCTCACATGGTATTGCATCAGGTTGATGAAGTCATTGCTGATTCCTAATGCCTTTTCTGAAAGGCTAGAAGAGAATGGGAGACCTTGGAGGACTGATATCAGTGGCAGGGGGCTTAGCTGCCTCCAGGCTTCCAAGTGCAGCACTAAAGGCTGCAGTCGTTCAAGTGTTTTCATCTAAACCTTCCTCTGCCTTTTGAGGCAGAGTTGTCACTCAGCGCTGATCACAGCAAGCAGAGCAAGGGACTTAGCTCCTGTCTCGAAGAAACAAGTAGTTCTGACCCAATTCTGGGCCTGGCTGATACTAGTCCAGTGTCTTAATAGTGGAGAAGTGTAACGAAAGCTTGCTCAAAAACATACTTTAAAAGCACAGTTTAAATCTTTGCCTGTGTAGTTGTCAATGAAAGGTATGAGTTTGGTTTTTGTTTTAAAGAGAAATCCCAAGTCTGAGCCCAGAACTAGTATTTATGTAAATCAAAACATATTTGTAGTTGTGTGTAACCATGCCTGGGGGCTGAGACAAACAAGAACAGTTCCTGTGTTGTGATTCCTCTGAGGAAGGAGGCAAGGGGACTTGCTGCAGCCCTGGTGCTTGTCTCTGCCCATGACAAAGATGCTATGGGCTTGCTGAAGTCAAGTAGCACTAGGAGAAGAGAGGATGTATTTGTGCACGAAAGACTGACAGATTCCTGAACCCTGCTGTGACTCGTCTGTGGTCCTGCTACAGTTACAACTACCTGTTGTGTAGAAGTGTAGCAGCGTAGCCCCTGCTGTCAAGGGATTTATAACTTTTGTAGGACAGAGAGGGTCACGGGGAGCAAGAGGACTCAGTCACAGCAGGTCTGCAGTCAAGCCAGGGCCACAGGGATAGTGTCGGGGTGGAAGGAACACTGAGGCCAGGCAGACCCCTGCACGCTCATCCAATCTCTTAACTTAAATCTGAGCTGCTGTGCTTTATAGCAAAGCAGAAGTGTCCTTGTCTAAGTCCCCTCTAGACAAAAATAGCCAAATCTGTTTGTCCTTCTGGCCTTGTGAGGGTCAGAGATCCATATGACAGTATGAGGAGAGGTTCATATGGTCTTTCCAGTGTCATTGGACAAAGGAAATAACATCTGAGAAAGGGGTGCTTACCTGCAGTCCTACACACATCTTGCATTGGAGAAGACATCAATATGTCAAGGGTCCTTGTGAGCCAGGGCCCAGTTCTACAGTACCTGGACAGGCCTGGAGAAAGCAGCTGAGCACACAGCTCGCCGGGCAACTTCACAGCAACGAGGCAGGACTGAAGTGAGGCCAGGAAGTCATTCTGCACATCAGGATCACGAAAGGATGACATAGGTCAGCCCATCCAAATGTTTCTGCATGCACCTATAGCAATGAAGGAGGCCTAAGGTAAAGCTGAGAACTCAGCCCACGGCCTGGGCTCTAGATAAATGAAAACTAGGGCTAGACACACATGTGCCCTGACCAAGAGCACCAGTAGAGCTTAAGAGAGAAATTAAGGCTTGGGGCTGAGCTTGAGGAGTTCTCCTGGCCCCAAAGACAGGGGGTGTAGATGGAGACCCCAGGTAAGGCTGGTCAGGCATTAAGATATATTAATACAGCCAGCTCCCTGACATATAGAAGCAGTTCCTTATGGTCTAGCTTGATGCTGCTCTATGGTGAAGCTCTTATCAGTAGCCCAGTGATAACTTAGGTTGCCAAAAAGCAGCCTTTTCTTGAGAAGTTCTCCTGGTCTGTTGTTTAGAAGCTCTTTGAGGAGATGATAGCTAACTACAGGTCTCGCCTCTGACCTGGGGTCAGGAGTGTAAGGTGCATGTGGGTGACGGTGCCTTGGCTGCTCTCTGTACCTTCAGCGTACATCTTCTTTCCTCTAGTCTATCCAGTCCAGCCATCAATGGATGGATGGACCTGCTGTGAAGTAATAGGTCCTGGAATCTGTCCCATGTCACTGTGTGGCAAACTCCTAGTGTCAAAGATGTGTCCAGGTGAGAACTGGACTGCTATGTGTGTAGTTAGAGACTGTGTTTGAAAGTCTGGGAGAAAAGCAGGAGCAATGAGAGTGCAGTCCTCCAGTGTAGGTTATGGACATGTTAGGTGCAGGCATCCCATTAACAATCACAAGAGTTGCAAGTCTAATTCTTTTTTTGAGACACTGAAAATGTACCCGAAGGAGTCCACGTTAGTAAAGCCACAAACCACATTAGAAAAACCACCGAAGCCAATTTGGTGCTCAGACCTTCTGTGCGCCTGGCGCAAATCCAGGGCTCTGGCCGGGCTGCATCCCTCTCCACACACAAAAGGCAGGTTCAGGAAATTGCACACAGTGCAGCTGAGGTGGCTTGTCCTGGCGTCCCTGTCTGGACTCCGCAAGCACAAACCTCTGATTTTGACAAATGAATCCCAGATGTTAATAAGTTAAGGCATCTTTTTTGTTGTTTTGGTTTGGTTTTTGTTTTGTTTTCCCACCTTGAACGTAAACACCCAGCTGAGGTAGAGCTGTAACACTCTACCCCAGCAAGGCCTGGGGACTGAACCTTGTCTCAGTCACTGGGAGGGTTTGAAGGGGGTTAATGGCAATTTTACAGCTGATCTTCCATTGACTTTAAGAGAGCATTGACTAGCTGTGAACCTAACTGTTGCAGTCCTGTTGCTAAGAAGACGACTGAGTGGGGAGGCGAACTGATGGTAAAGAGGTTACTGAAACAAGCATCTGTAGGCGTACAGGAAACTCCAAAAGAAAAAGAAATTAAGGGGGAAAAATGAAATAGAAGAGCTGGAGTTGTCAGAGCCAGAGAAGAGGCATTAGAAGTCACGTTTATAAGCAAAGCATCCAGAAAAAGCTGTGGATTGGACTGTGGGAGAGAGCTGATCCCGGTCCTTGGTAGTAACTAAAACATCTGTGGGAATCTGCAGTCTCAAGTGCTGACTGGAAGCATTACTGGAAGGGAGCCTTTTTACATGCTGACTGGAAGCATTACTGGTGCTTTCATTTGATTCCCTATCTATTGCACGATGATCTCATTGACATTCCCTGCAGTGAGCCCACTTAATCATTCTATTAAAAAAAGAAACAGAAACCCAACTCCGGGCATTTTGGTACTGACATGATACTGGTCCACAGCAGCTCTGTGTGTTCTGCATCGCACCTTCCCCTGCCCTCCCGGCTGCTCCTCACTCAGGCAGCTTGGAGATGAAATGTCCTGCCATGTCAGTGGCTGCTCTCCCAGCTAATGCAGAGCTGTTCTTTGCACAGCTGTTTCTTTACACCTTGCCTAGTTCTTAGTCCCACCAGCAGACAAGGCAGGTGTAGCTGACGTGCAGATTAGGTTTTGCTTTCCCTTTGTTAGCTGTACCATGTCTTCACTTGAAGAACAGCGAGTATCCATCCCCTCTCTTGCCATTCTTGAGCACCTTGATATTTGTAGGCAGTTTATCACTTTTTCCCCTTGCCTCTGCACTGCTTAGCTAAGCTGTAAATATTTGTGCCTTTTAGTCTCTTTTCTAATGCAATTTTCTGCAGGTTCCTTTTCTGCCCTTCTCCAAACTGTTTTCAGTCCAGAACCTGGAGCAATCCCTGCTCTTCAGCCGCGGTCACATCTTGTTTGCCAGGCAGTTGACGAGGGGGCAGGAGAGGGAGCTAGTGCTGCCCCTGCCTTTGGCCAACTTCGTACATGTGCAAGCACCGAGGTGCAGGGTCCCGCTGCAGCATGTGAAGTTTCTTGCTCTTCAAGTAGACAGAGCAACCCAGCCCCAGTCCTGCTTCTTTCTGCTCTTGGTGGTATTTAATCACAGCTCTCCACTAAATTTCTCTGCAGAAGGACGCACAATATCTCCCCTCCTCTCCTGATACCATCTGCGCCCTGAAGTGTCAAGCTGTGGGGCAGAGCCTCACAGCCCTGGAAACCCTCCTTTCCCCCCAGAGAAAAGCACTTTTCTGTCTCTCCCATGTGAAGAGCCTGCAGCTCTTCCCCCTGTCAAGCAGGCTGCAGTGTTTTCCAGCTTCACTTCTGGGCTTCTCAGGTGCTCCGTGCCCAGGGTGAGACCAGCCCTTCTTAGCCCTCCAGGACATGGTGGGGACAGGCAGCTCTTCCTGCCACAGCTCCCTAATCACTGCCCCCCTTTTCTGTCTTGTAAAGTCCCTGCTTTGCAGCCCGTTGTTGCCAGGGCTTTTTGGCTACCCGGCTGCACTGTCAATTCACATTTATTACACATCTCTTGATCACCGTGAAATCTTTTTTTGGCACTGTTGTTGTCTAGGCTCTTTGTTCCCTCTGAGTATCCATTTGGAGAAACTGGGCCACACATTTCCTGAGTTTCTGGGCTGTATGCGCATGGACCCTCACACATTTTGTAAAAAGCATCTAAAATTGAATGTATTTGTTGCAGTCTTTTGACATCTGTGGCCGCGTGGGAAGTGTCCGGAAGGCACTGAAAGTCCTTTGCACCACACAGGTGAGTAGCCACATGTGTTGGGCCAGTTTCATGGGTCAAACCTTGCTACTAATGAATGATGGAGCTGATAATTGCTCATCGCATTGGGATCCTGGGATGAAATGACACGTTGGTCCGTGACTGGGATAAAGCAGTGCCTCTTGTTAGGAACCTTTTCTGGTGTCTGCCCTGTCTCAGTACAGACAGGGCACAGTGGCAATAGTGGCTGGAAGCCTTGTGTAATATGGATTCATCCATTGATGCCAGAATCTTAAGAAGATGGTAAAACTTCGAACTGTGAGTGTAAGACCTTAAATAAAGATATGTAGTGGCTGATGGTGCTACAGTATCACTGCAGTGATACTGAAACAAACAGATACTGCAATACGCAGAAATAGTCCCTGGCATGGCATTAAACAGTAGTATTTACATCTCTTGTAGTGAAATACGGTGATCTGTGTTTCAGAACAGTAAAACCCAAAGGGTCAGGGGAAAGGAACATAACATCACTGCAATTTGTTAGAGCTTGACTTGCTTATTCTGTGGGTTTGTGTTGGTCATTTTTCCACAGCATGTTTCTGTTTTCCCTATTGCAGTTACAATATGAGAAGCAACATTTACTTCCACTTATTCTACAAAAATAAGGTGGGAAGCCTGTGGGTGCTGCTGCTGTTATTCTTTCTTTTAGTGTCTAGCTTGCTAATAATAATACCTCCCACCATCTAAACACCTCTGCAAATGATGCTGAATTAATCCTTTCAGCTCCCTGTTGAGCTCATTAAATTTCATTATCATTGCTCCACAAGTGGAGGCACTGAAAGGTGGAGTCAGCTCGAGGGGAAAACAAAACAGAGAGCGCCGAGCTCCTGGCTCCCCATGTTCTCACCCTGGTCCCAAACCAACGTTTCCTGTGCTCAGCAATGCAGCACCAACCTGCTTCCCAGGGAGCGCAGGGCATCTAGGGGTGAAAAACGTCTCGGCCAGAAACCAGGTTATCTTTAAAGCCTTTAACAAGGATGTGTTTCTTTTCTCTCTCCCCAACAGACGTATGGAGTTCGTGCTACCAGCCAGCAGTGCAGCGAGGCAGGTGACATCTGTGCCATTTGCCAGGCAGAATTCAGGGAGCCTTTGATCCTTATGTGCCAGGTAAGAACCCTGTGTTTGCCCCCGTTGGTGAACACTTGCTTCACTGCAGCTGGGGAGCAGCACAGTTAGCCCAGGCACTTACAGAATCATTTGCTGTGGCTTGTTCTATCTCCTAGTGGATGTTTATTGCCCTCCTCCAGACAGCCGGTGATTTGGGATAGCGGAGCCATGTGAACTGCTCTGGTCATAGCTAGTGAGATGGAAGAGACCAGCCCTGTAGTGCAGGGACTGCCAGTTGGCAAACCAGCCCTTGGATCTCGAATGCAAGGCATTTTTATCTGACCCTTGGGCATATTGGCTGGTGGGCGGGCCAGCGCGCTGCGAGCGTTGCTCTAAGTGCTGCAGGAGGGGCACAGGCCCAGAATGAGCCTGACGGGGTGCGTTAGGACAGGTGCAACCCATGCAGGCATGGCTGCATTGGTCTGGCCCCTGCGCACCTGGCCGGGAACGAAAGTAGAAGTTACCCTGCCAGAACATGGGAATTGTTCCCTTTCTCATTTGGGAAGTGCTGGCAAAAAGCAAAAGATTGAGAATGTGTCTGAGCGCTACGGGAGTCCCAACGTGGTACTGCTAAAACGCTGCAAATGCCACGCGCCACCGCGCGCTTTGTGCGTGTGTCAGGGCCAGCCAAAGGCACTGCTTCCTGGGGAGGCTGGTGATGCTTTCCCAAGTTTTCTTTCTTCTTCCCGCTAGATCTGCAGGGACATATGTTCTCTTGTAATGTCAAAAGAAGAGAGTCTCCAGCAGGTTGAGGGAGGGGATCCTACCCCTCTACTCAGCCCTGGTGAGACCACATCTGGAGTATTGTGTCCAGTTCTGGGCCCCACAGTACAAGAGGGATGTGGAGCTGCTGGAGAGAGTCCAGCGCAGGGCCACAAGGATGATCAGGGGCCTGGAACTTCTGCCCTGTGAGGAGAGGCTGAGGGAGCTGGGCCTGTTCAGCCTGGAGAAGAGAAGGATGAGGGGGTCCTGAGCAGTGTCTAGAAGTACCTCAAGGGAGGCAGTGAGGAGGATGGTGCTGGCCTCTTTCCATGGGTGGCCACTGACAGAACTAGAGGAAACAGCCAGAAACTGAAGCATCAGAAGTTCCACAGGAACTTAAGGAAAAATTTCTTAATAGTGTGGGTGACAGAGCACTGGAACAGACTGCCCAGAGAGGTTGTGGAGTCTCCTCTGAAGATCTTCAAACCCACTTGGACGCAGTCCTATGCCACGTGCTCTAGGTGACCCTGTGTGTGCAGGGGGGTTGGACTAGATGAGCTCTAGAGGTCCCTTCCAACCTTAACCATTCTATGAGCATTCTATGAGCAAAACAAGGCTCTTGAGACCTTTTTTTGAAGAGCTTCAATATTCCCAAGCTTTGGAGCAGGGGGAAGATGAGGTGTGAAAGCTGACAGTGCAGAAAAGGGATGGGACAGTAGAACGGACCAAAAAACTGGGTGATAAGAGCAGAAAAACACAAGTGCGGTAACAGGTAGGGCCGTGAGAGAGGATTCTCTAAGCTAAGTAAAGACTCACAAGACAAACTGGGGACGTGATGAGTGTGTGACATGAAAAAAAGGATTAAAAAAAAAAAAAAGGTTAAAGTGCTCTCAACAACTCTGTTAGCCCGAATATCCTAGGCATTTTTAATGTTTCTTTCTGGTGCTGTATTAAGAAACAGAGTAAGGTAGTAGCTTTGGGTAGCTGATGTACTCGTGGCGTTGGGCTGTTTCTCGTCCCAGCTGGTGTTGTGGGGAGCTGCCGGCCGCCCGACCCCCGCGGTTCAGGGGACAGGCCGGCGTGCTGCGCACCTCGCCACGCTGCTCTCTTGCCTCGCAGCACGTGTTCTGTGAAGAATGCCTCTGCCTCTGGTTTGACCGTGAGAAGACCTGTCCCCTCTGTCGCTCGGTCACCGTGGACACCCTGCGCTGCTGGAAAGATGGCACCACCTCTGCCCATTTCCAGGTGTATTAAAACCAACACACCACCAACGCGTGGAACGACATGTGCAGACACAAGAAAAAGCTGTAAAATTTGAGTGTCCCATCCACCTATTTAGTTGCCTGTGGATTGGTTGTCTTGATCTTTCTCCCAGCTCTGCCTCTTCTGCAGCCTGCAGAACAATTTGTTACTAGTCAGAAACCTTACCCTAACAGGCGAGAATGATGTGTTTCATGTTGTGGCAACCTCCGTGGCTGAGCTAGAGCCAAGATTTTTTTCCTCTTGAACGTGTATTTTATAAACTGTGTGGCAAGTTTCTGTTTTTTCTTCCTTTTAGTATAGGTAAATGTTGCATATGTAAGTTAAGTATGCTGTAATTCACCATGGCGTGTGTATATTGCTGATGATACCAAACTGGGAGGAGTAGCCAAGGTCCCCTCGGAGCCGCTCACCCCTCTGCCGGGCTTCTCCTTGGGATGAGCAGACAAATTTCTTTGTTTCATTTAATTTCTTCTTAACGGTAATGAATGGGGGGAAGGAGTGTTTTTAAGAGAGGTTATATACAACATACCCTTCCTGTGAAAGCCCTTTCGAGGGAGGTGATCCTGCCCCTCTACTCAGCCCTGGTGAGGCCGCATCTGGAGTATTGTGTCCAGTTCTGGGCTCCACAGGACAAGCGGGATGTGGAGCTGCTGGAGAGAGTCCAGCGCAGGGACACAAGGATGATCAGGCGCCTGGAACATCTGCCCTATGAGGAGAGGCTGAGGGAGCTGGGCCTGTTCAGCCTGGAGAAGAGAAGGCTGAGAGGGGACCTGAGCAGTGTCTAGAAGTACCTCAAGGGAGGCAGTGAGGAGGATGGTGCTGGTCTCTTTTCAGTGGTGGCCACTGACAGAACTAGACGTAATGGCCACAAGTTAAAACAACAAAAGTGCCACAGGAACTTAAGGAAAAAAAATTTAACAGTGAGGGTGCCAGAGCACTGGAACAGGCTGCCCGGAGAGGTTGTGGAGTCTCCTTCTCTGGAGATCTTCCAAACCCGCTTGGACGCAGTCCTGTGCCACGTGCTCTAGGTGACCCTGCACGTGCAGGGGGGTTGGACTAGATGACCTCTAGAGGTCCCTTCCAACCTTGAGCATTCTGTGATGATTCTATATCCTCGTACAGTGGGGGAAAAAAAAAAAAAAAATTGTTCCCTGGCTCAAACCACAGGTGAGATTTTTCACATTAAATCTCCAGCCCAGCTTCCCTGAATTTACACCTTCACAAAATTACCTTGTTGCTGTCACATTACCTTTGAGAACTCTTCCAAAAGTCTGTCTCAGAGCCACACGTCCAAATATCTGTTTGGGGCTGGAGAACAGCATTTCCCAGCAGCCTTGTTTTTGCAATTGATTCCATAAATTGTGTCTATTGTCATCTTAATTAAATCTCAAGGAATTTGGGGAGGACTGGGTTAGTGAGCCTGGAACTGACACTTACTTGTCTTGGCATTGTTTTTTTCTTTTTAATTTTCATGATCAGACTTTCTGATTTTCTAGCCTAGGGGAGAACAGCAGGAGAGAGGGAGAGGTTAAAGTCAAGCTGGATTTGACTAAGTGAAAAGTTGAGGTCCTAACCAAGACTGTATCACAAATTCGGGTATCTCTGCAGCATGTTCCTCAGCACAACCACTCGAGGCAAGGCATGCTGGCTTTAAAATAGTGTTGTTCTGCGTCCAGAACCTGCCTGTGTTCCCCGGGATTGTTCTCCTGCGGCACTGAGCCTGTATAGCACTGTTGGTACCAGAAGTGCGGGGCCGTGAGGATGCAGCCCCCCTGGAGAGACTGTGTTTAGAGAGACCTGCTTGCTTGAGGGCAGCATTATACAGAAGCAGCTGCATTGCTTCAGGAGCCCACCTGGTTTATATACAAGCTGGATAATCCACCGGCGATGGTGGAGACCTCCGCTTCAGAAAAAGCTCTTTGTGGAGGTTCCTTATATCGTTAACAGGCAAATTATCACACTGCATATCCTAGGAGGAGGCTGCTGCTGAGGCTGCTGCAGCAACACTTGCATGCAAATAGAGTTGCTGTTTGGTCAGCAGAGCCTTCCCTTTCACTAAACAGCCTCTGCTTTCTGCTGCATACCCAGAGAAAGTGCCTCATTAGGCAACTGTGGCATCTTCCGTGCTCATTACTATGGAAATGGCCGTAAGGTTACAATCCCACTTGAGTGGATAATCAGGAAGAACTGTACCTGGGGAAATGAGCCTGTGTCTATGTACTGGCTGCCGCCTTCCTCTCCTGCTGTGAAGCTCCAGAGGGAGAAGAATTAAAGCAAACAGGAGCTAATGGTAACAGGATTAAGGCTCAACATTTCTTTGGAAATAATAGTTAAGTATGACTAGAGGAGAAATGATGAGAGGCAGTGTCTGAGCAAGGAAGATAGCCCAAATCTGGCTTGAGAGACACAGGAAAGTAGAGAGGAGGAAAAGCTTTACTGTCCAAAATGAAGGGACGTGGTTCTTGTCAAATGAATCCCATGAAAGGGGGAAATTAAGGCAAGGAATCCAGCGGCCATGATGCAAAGAGCCTTATTGGGCTGCGGGAGAGAAGTCAGTAAAGAAGGGAGCAAGATTTTGAGTGAGCATAAAAGTATTATGTATGATAGTCCAGGATAGCCACAAAGAAAAGGGCAAATCACTGATTCTGCAAGCAGGCAGATTCAGATTCATTATGAAAAGCACCAACTTCAGTTCTCAGTACAATGCTATTTAATTAAAGGACTGGTGGTATCTGCTTTCAAGGTGTTTGAAGAGCCATCTTTAGCTCTGTTTTTTTTTTTTTTTTCCTGAATAGTCCTGCAAAATCTATTTGTAAAAGCAAAGAAAAAGGTTAATATGAGCCTGAAACTACAGATAACGTTTCATATGCTGGTTCCTAATCATTAGTATTTTAGTTGGTGAGAAAGCAGGAAGCTAATTGAGCAGAAAGCATGGGGAGGAATTATTTTTCTGTCCTTAGACACCTTGCTTTCCTTTTTATTTTTTTTAATTGACTGATCTTCCCACTTGGCAGTCTGAGTAAGAAAGAGGGCACTAGCATCATCCTAGACTTGAACCACTGCTCCAGTGCAACCCTCGGGAAGAATCTGGGTAAGACTGGGTAAGACTTTGTACTTGAGTGCTCTGGTACACAGGGAGGAATCCCTGCCCTGGCATCGTAGTTTGCAAGACAATTCCTGGTCCTGTTTTCTATCTGGCCTCATCATTTGCTGCCCCTTTCTCTAGCAGGCCGTTCCCACGTGGCCGCCCCTCCGCTCATGTTGCTGCCGCCTGCGCGCGCTACCCGCCGCAATCCTCTGTTGTCTCGTTAGAGCAGCAAGCCCAAGCGCTGCTCTTCGGTCGTCCTTCGAGACCAAGAGCCTCGTGCTGTTGGAACGGCTCCAGCGGTGGCAAGGTGCAGCAGGGCCCTGCTGTGTGTGCCAGGGCTTCGGCGCCCTGTTATGTAGGTCTTGGATTAAACCACCGCCTCTGTGTCCCCGTTCTGGGCTGTTCTCTCTAGGCTGAGTTATGGGGGTGAACCACTCTACCTTCTTCTCAAACAAGACATTTAGACCAGAAAAGGTACAGGGGGCGGCTTCGGCTCTAGTGCAACCTGATGAAAACTACTATTGATTTCCATAGGAAAAGAGTCAGGGTTGTGGAAGGATGTTAATGTCTCCGTTTTTAGAGAAGAAATAAAAACAGACACATTTTTTTCCCCAGTGAACAATTATTTTTCTTTTTTTTTTAATAAAGTCATTATAAATATGTACAAAGAGTCTCAGCATATGAAATTCCTTTTACAAAAGAGAGAAGCCACATCCAACGATAAACAAGAGCCTTTATGAGCTTGTCGTATCAACAGGGGGTTATGCTTTGCCCTTACTTTGATGAGGGAGGAAACTTGCACAGTAACACTGCAAAAGTTTGCAGCCAAATATAACTAAATCAGTAATGTGCAAAGAATTAAGTATTCACTGCATTTCTTCTTAATTTATTAGCAATGCATCTGGGAGCAGAATGGAAAATTTTCAAATGTCCTCTTGTGCTAAACTGTGGTCTTGAAATTGTTTGGAAAGATTTTGATGCAAATCTCCCTGAAAACTAAATTACAGCGTAGTTGGTTTTGCTCTCCACTGAGGTGGCACCTGTATCTATGGGATGGATGGAGATCAGTAGATGCTCTCAGTGAATATTTGTGAAGCTCCAAGTCACTTTCTGTAAATATTAAAAAAAACTTGTGAAATTCAAGTACTCAAATAGCTATGCAGAGCGAACTCTGAAGAAGTGTGATCACGGTTAGATCAAAATTCACTTTTGCATCCAAATAAATAATGAGAAAAAAATATATTCTGCTCTGTTCTGTTTTGTAGTTTCCAGTTTCTCTTGCAGATGGGAATGCGAGTCCCGCAGCTCTGAGGAGCAGCCAGCTTTGATCTGGCCGCGCTGCTCTCGGGATGGGCTCGTGGAGCAGCACAGGCAGAGGGAAGGGGCACAGCGTCTCCTTCACTGCACTGTGAGGGAAGAGACCCTTTCAGATAAAAAGGGCTTCTTCAGACCAGTACAGAATTAGAGAAGGTAAAAGCAATGTCTGTGGGTTCCTCTCCTCCTTTCAGATCACCTGATATGTTAAGGGTTTTCCTGAGGAAGCTCAAATCCCATCCCATTTAGCTTTCCTTAGGCTTTGGGATTTTGAAATGACGTGGCCACATGTCTTCCAGCTTGTTGCTTGACCTGTTGTGGAGTTACAACATAGCCAGAGAGTTTGGATGTGCCTACAAAAGCTGGACGTGTGGGTCCAGCATTTAATTTGGAGGCATCATTAGTTACTCAGGCTTCTGTCTAAGAGATTATGTACAGCTGTCTTCTGAAAAGCATTTGTAGGAAGATTAAAATTGAATATTAAGGGTTAGGTATGCTCTCCTCTAGATGCTCAAGGGCTATGGGAACAGAAGTTTTTACTGCATCCTTTTATCTGAAGAGGCATCAGGGAAAGCGCCCAAGTCCAGGGCAGAAATTGCACTGGTTTAGCCAAATATTTCTGTAATCAGTTCTGTTCAGACACTGCTTCTGCTGTGGGGTTGAGATCCTTGAATTTTTAGCATAATATAGAAATAAAGCAAATTCGCAAATTAGATTAGACTGATTTAACAAGTGTTTTTGATTTAAATGAATTATTTTAGCAATGAGCTTAGTTGGGTTAGGGTGATTTCTGCATGCCTACATACACTAAAAC